TATCCGCAATGGGACACCGTTGACCTCGACTGGAAAATCTTGCCGCAGAATTTTGAATTCTGTTGGTTGTCGCATATTGTTGTGAAATCGGTATGAGTTCGATGAGTAAGGCAGCTCAAGGAATATGGGCGCGATTTTAGGAATAGAATAATGATGATATGAATCGAGAGAAGATGTGATATACCGTGGAGAAATAAAAGATGGGTTGGGTAAATTGAATTGATTAGATTATCTGTCTTGGTGATTCCTAGACAGCTTATATACATGTAATCTTGATAGACCAAATCCAGACTAGATACCATCCATCATTCTTTCCATACTCTAACTATGACAATGAATCGCACGTAAGTATACAAAATGAGTATGGGGTCATGGTCGGTGGATGAAAGCCTACACGTGTATCCGACCATACCATGCACTAGTCGAGTCTCAAGCATCAAACATGCTCAGTATAGGAGATATCAATCATCTAGGTCGTGAGTCATTTGTGAGAATCTTAGTTGATCCAATTAAAGGGAAACTTCAAACAGATAGAGTCTGAATTTCCAACACATAGTCATAGGCTTCATAGGACAATGAACAAATAAACACATAAACACAAGTGCCAGACTCCTTTTGATCCCAATACATAGCCCGTGCGAGATCTCCTGTTAACAGCAGTAAACAAAGCTAGCACAGGGTATACGCAATCTCCATCACCAAACTCCACGGTGCCTCCGGCCTTATTGTTTTTCGGATCGCGAACATTATTGCATCTATCAGCCCTAGAAAGATCGAGGATAGGAAGGCAAGACTGAATACCTGTACGCGGTGTCCTCTACGAACCTGGGAGTGGAATATTCTCCCAGAGCCAAGTTCAGTCAAGCTTCGCAATAACGAGCAAGTTGGCCCACGAGGCAATGATTCAAATTACTCCAACATATCAATCTTTCACTCCCAACGTAATCGATTCCTACCTAAGCCTCATCAAGTTTACAAGTGCGACCTAGTACATCCTCATTCCAGTGATCACACCTCTCGTTGACTTTCTCTGGCCTCAGCCGGTCACCAAATATACGCCCACGCCGATATTTATACCCGACGGAGGAATCAAAGCATGGCGCACAAATCTGGGAGACTGTTCTTTGAGATGGACGTGGGAGGAATCAGGACAAGTTCATAAGATGATGCGAAGAATGGATACAGTCTCGACGGGCGTGAAATTTTGAAATTTGGAAAGGAGTTTTTACAAATTGAGCTTTGTGCGTGCCAAGTCTTCGGCTGCGAGAGTGCAGGCGACACTATAGAAACTGCCATGGTTGGATGGTGCGGTGATACATCTTCTTGGCCGGTCTGCCAAGTAGAGTCTGCATAGCCTCGACACATATCCCACTCGAGACAGTAGATTGTTGGTTCAAATCCAGCAAAACACAACCACTTTTCTCGCGGCGCTGGTATGCATGGATGACGAAGGCATGCTTTGATAATCAGAGGTTTTTAAATTGCCTTTGGTATGTACTTACGGAGGAGGGTCGACTGTTTGTGTAAGCGAACATACCTCATAGTGGTATTTGCAAATAAAATCCAGAGTATGAGTGTCTCTAACGTCAAAAGAGTCATTCCACATGTATACATAGCGCCGGTCATGTGTCATGGCTAGATAGCTGAATACACATTAGATGATTTAAAAAAAAAAAAACGATCGAGGATAATTGGAACTTTGACAAAATATACCTTCTTAGTGTCAATTAGCGAATTCTGGTGCGCCATACAGAAACTGGCCTGCCCTTTTTGTCCGAGACTCCGTCCCTTGAAAGAGTTTCCGCCTCTCCGACGAGTCTCGAGTCACTGCAAAGCTCCAGCATTGCCGCAAAGTTCAGCAGTGTTTTCGCTGCCTCGGCTTCCACGCCACTCGAGGCTGCTCCCGCGCTTCGGCTTGTCGGATCTGCTAATCAACAAAGCAATCTTAATCAGATAGCAACGCCCTCACTAGATGTCGGGACTGGGAATCTTCACCGCTTGGATTCTTGGGACTGGCTAGTCAAACCCAAAAATTTCGTCCCCGTGAACAAAGAGCGGCTGGAACAGATCCGGCAAGTCGAGCATAGGAGGTTTCCAGAAGCATCCCGGGCAAAATTTGCAGTTAAAAGAGTAGAGGAGGCGAATGTCGCCTCAAAGAAGGACGTCTCCATGGCAGAAGGAACAGGCTTCGGAGTTCTGACGTATCAAAAAGAAGCTTGAGGGTACAGCAACGTCTATGACACGTTTTGGGTACCACTAACTCATAGTAGAGTACCGGCTGAAACAAGGGTACCTGCTAACCCATCTTTAGCTCTCAGCAGAGTGGGGAAGTTGTCATTTGGGAGGCGTGATGGGCGAGAAAATGTGTGAGGGTCGCGTTGCTTGAGTCTAATGTGGAGGAATCTGTTATTTTTGGGGTTTGATTTGATTTTTTTGTTTGTAGTTTCTATTAAAATCTGCTGTAATTTTGGTTACGATTCTTGTTTTTGTGCATCAGATTTTAATTGCGTATGCATCTATCTAGCTATGACAGAATATCAAAGACAAGTACAGAATATATGATTCAACGTAAATGTCAAAGGGTAGAATTTCACCTATCCATGGAAACTAAGCTAGTCACATCACATGACCTTCCTAGCAGTACATAGATTTCATCTGTAGCGGTAGACCTCATTAGTCAACATTTACAATCCATAAACCGTGTCCCACGTTCTCTTTAAGAGTAAAGGAAGAGCACTTGTGCCTCGGACTTCATTTACAATTACCACTTCGAAGTTATGGTGGCTTTTTCATCACCCTTAGTCAACCCTCATCCGTGAATACCCACCCAGGGGAACGTCTCAAAAACCCTCAGTTATGCAGACATGCCTCCGTCATCCATCAACTTTTCTCCGGGCGAAATATAATCTGAGATGTCTCCTCCCCAAGTGGTGTAGGTGCCCAGGCTGCTCAAATTATACCAGAGAACATCACCAGGAGGCGGATCACAACACCTTCCAATCATCGATTTGTTTTTATAGTGTCAGCTGCACTCTCGCAGGCGGAGTTTTGGCGCGCACAAAGCTCAATACGTAAAACTCTTGCTAAAATTCGAAATTTCACGTCCATCAAAAACGTATCCCTCTTCTGCATGATCTTGTAAACTTGTCCTGATCCCTCTCACGTCCATCCCAAAGAACTATCTCCCGGATTTGTGCATCACGCTTTGCTTCCTCCGTCGGGTATAAATATCGGCGTGGGCGTATATTTGGTGACCGGCTAAGGCCTGAGAAAGTCGAAGAGTCGTATGGTCATTGGGATGAGGATGTACTATGTCGTACCTGTAGACTTGATGAAGCTTAGTTGAGAATCGGACTCTTTAGGAGTGAAAGATTGATATGTTGGAGTAATTTGAATCATAGCCTCATGGGCTAACGTCTTTGGTATTACGAAATTTGACTGAACTTGGCTCTGGGAGAATATTTCACTCTCAGGTTCGTAGAGGACACCGCGTACAGGTGTTGAATCTTGCCCCCTTGGTTGCGATTCATCCAGTTGGCATGAGTGGGCTGTGGAAAATAACATGGTGATCCCTGCCGGCTCTACCGGTCCTGTATCAAGTGTAAGACATGAGGCCTTTACTTTGGCTCTGGACCTTAATAAAGCGACATCAACATACTGTGATTCATGCCAAATTTCTTTCATGAATAGCTGTGAGTAGCTCCATAAAGTCAGAAGATATTTTGACTTTAGTGGCAAATAATTACGATCTGAAAGTCTGGTAAAGACTTGCCAGCTCAGGCAGGTTGTCGAAAAGTTGTTATTGCTCGACAAGATAACGAATTAAATCTGATATTTATTTTTCATTAAGACACGTCTAGACATTTTCGCAGCTAAGATTCCACGTGCTATTCATAGTCATGTATTTAACCTTGAAATGGCTCATGACAAACGCCCGAGCCATCCTACCTTACCTTCTCTTCTCCAAATTCATCGTTTTTGAATCATGTGAACTCTATTAAAATAAGTCGATCACCCATACGTCAATTCTGATTAATTATCACCACCATCTGAAATCATAGATCTTCCGTCCTGGCAGGTAATCTATGGGAACAAACTAAATCATGATACTATGGCATGGCTAATCTTAAGCCAAATTTCAAAGCAGATCCTCTATCTTTCAAGACCCACATTGCGGTGGGAATTGAAGTCTAAAAGTACTATGAATAACCATTTAATTTGCCCTTCTCCGCGACTGAAGAGCAATCAAAATGAATGTCAATTGAACTCCAGACTATCGGTTTATTCTTGATTCAGCTTCGTCTGACACTGTATTCTTAATCTCACACCAGTTAGCAGATTTAATGACAACATCATTGACGCCCTCCTTGTTCTCTATATATAACCAGAAAGAGAATACCGTATTTAATCAATCTAACAGTATCTTTGTCACATCAAATTAAGCATCCATCGCAAAAATCCACTCGAAATGCATTATTTCAAGCCAAACTTCGTCGCTTCAATACTGGCTCTCTCAATCCCTAGCATCGTTTTTTCCTCGCGTGAAATTGATCGTGGTTACACCTGAGACGGAAAATTTTTTCACGAATCGAAAATCATAGAGGTGGAAGAAAAGATTGAAGAGTTAAGAGGTCGGCCAGAACCACTCGAAGAGGACATGGTCTTCCCACAACATCCAATCAAAATCATGGGTATACCGAAACCTCGTTCGAAACCCAAGTACGCTTTTCCCATTCTTGAAAGCGGCGAGATCTACAATGGAGGTGTGTTGGTCTAATCTTTCCGTCCCGTAATCTGGGAGCTGACATGCAGGGTAGGCGAAACAGGCCCTTATTTTGTCGTCGTCAATAGAGATAATGTACTTTTTGGTGTTCTAATCAAAGAGGAAGATACATGGAGGAACTGCATTTGGGGGCGCCATTCAGCCTAAGGGAAACCAAACGTAAGACCTATCGATAGCACTCAGAGCTCATCACAATCCAGTGGTTTTTCGAGATCAGATGGTGACTCGATGTCTGACGAATCAATGGACGATGACGCAGATTCGGCACATGCACAGATTTACGGTTGGGCTCTTCGTGGAGCCTAGGAGAATACCTTAGCATAATATGAAGGATGGGTGTTCCAAAGGTATAAAAGGGGAGTTATTGAAGTAGCACAAAATACCGATACTTATTAGGTTATTTGCGAGGTTGACAGAGTATATTTCAATTCTAATACAAGAAGCTAAATTTCTGTACCTCTAGACAGTTTGATAAAAACTCGTTTTCTCATTGTTGACATGTTATGATAACGACCACAGGGCTGCTGAAATCTTCCTGCGTCCTGTAAATGTTTGTGAGTTATTTTGATATTATTTTCAAATTTCTCGCTATCAAGAAACCCACCACCATGTCATTCAAGCGGGAAAGTGTGGCAGCTTAAAAAATTGTTGGTATAGAATAGAACATGGCCTTGAACGCGTCACAAAAGTGACAAATGAGGAATATCACAATCGAGGAGGATTTATCGACATTAAAACTTGTTGTCGATATTTTATATGTATGTCTGTTATCACAGACATTGGAAATAAATCATGAGATTGCTTAATGAGAGGCTTGTATTGATTCCGATATAATATTGTAGAAGACTTGTCCCAACTATCAGAGGGCTACAACGTCTTTATCTATCTACAGGTAAATTTCCCATATTCCAACCACGCTAGCCATAAAGGACGTCGCATATAAAACCTGATTCGTATCATCATTTTGGAGTTGAGGTTTACCGTGCATATGCTACTCGAGTCGCATGTCTGACTACTATGCGACGCGCTTAGGTATCAATCCAACAACCCACACCAAAACCGAAACTACTCACAACCCTGATGATGATCCCATGAATAATTGTAATAGTAGCCTGCAACATATCACAATTGGGCTAGACATCGTTGACCAGGACCTAATCCTAACAAGGATACTGTCACGGCTCGAGTGTCTTTGCTGGACAAATCAAATATACGAGGGTAGTTTCTAATTTTCTCAATAGCTAACTATCAAAGCCTTACTTCAACTATTTATAAATTTATGAAGATATCTAAAATACTCGTTCTTGGTTGATATCTGCTACTCTCACACTCCACTTATAGTAGTTCGAAGTCTTGATACTAATTACTAGAATATTCGAGCTGCAGCTGAACTGGTCTGGATTAAAGCTCGATTTTGATTTTAATTGAATTTAACGTCCCGCCTATCTATAGCTCGTGACTACTGTCACGTACTGGACGGCCCAGTCCCTACAGAAGTACCCGACGCTCTAGCACGCACTAAAAAACTTAGAAATTACAATAGCATCCGACCAGCTGTCTGCCACCATATACCGCGCTCCTGGAGCAGACCTTATGCCGCTACTGTCATGGGCTCCATCTGGGCCTATTGTTATCGGCGGAGACTTTAATGCTGTTCACACCGACTGGCAGCCAATGGCTACTAGGCTTCACGGCGACGGCCAGGTGCTTACCGAGTGGATGTTCGAGCACGGTATGGACCTATCTTCCACACCTGGCGTCCCGACACACGACTTTGGAAACACACACGACCTGGTCTGGTCTAACGCTGGTGCCCTTGCAGATGTCTCGACACAGCTTGACTCAACATTGGACCACAGAACGCTTGCAGGAGACGTTCCCCGCCCGAACTCGAAATCCATAGCGGCTATCAAAACTGGTCAACCGGTACGAGTGACACACGACGCCCTTAAAGACTTCGCCAAGGTACTAGATAGGTGGGCCCATGGAATAGGGATGCAGCCTATGGTCTCAACAAGTGCGGTGGACAACCTTGCGGATAAACAGGTTCAAACCATCAGCGATGCTATCAGGGCTACCGGAAGACGCGGGAGTACGAAGAAGGATAGGACGGCACCTTGGTGGACGTTGGAGTGCTCACAGGTCAAACGCGAATATAGGATATTCAGGGATGAGGAGAGTAGAAAGGATTTCCGTCGCATAGTCAGAAGTGCGAAACGCCAATACTGGCGGCGAAAGTTCTCGGAAGCGACAACAGACATCGACATGTATCGGATGGCACGCTGGGCAAAGCCGCAACCTAAATCTGCTGCTCCGCCACTTCAAACTCCTGATGGTCTGGTCTCGGATCCAGGAAAACGTGCACTTCAGTTGCGTGACCTCCTCCTCGGCCTATTCACCAGCCAAAACGACGTGGACACCGAATACCTCGAGCCAGGACGCGGAAACCTTCCATGGGTATTAAGCGTCACTGATGAAGCTAAGTGGGTCATAACGGCCTGCCAAATTAAAGCCCCTGGAGCAGACGTAATTTCTGCTCGTCTTCTTGGACAGCCTGGCCGTCAATTGGTCACGCAGTGAGAGTACTCTTTGAGGGCTCACTTCGACTGAACCACTTCCCGAAGGCATTCAAATTAGCCGAAGTGATTCTCCTCTCCAAGCCTGGCCGAAATCTCAGCACAGCTAAAGGGTGGAGACCCATCGCAATTCTCTCCTCCCTGGGCAAAAGTCTCGAGAGACTGGTTGCAAGGCGCATGGCATTTACCGCCATTTCGCACAAGGCCGTGCCGCTGCAGCGTTTTGGAGCACTCTCCGGCAGATCCGCTAACGACCCTGTCTCATGCGTTATCCATGATGTGGAGCATGAAATGAAGAGGCAGAAGAAAGCAGTTCTTGTCACTCTGGACGTACAGGGTGCATTTGACGCTGTACTACACGGAAGGCTGCTGCAAAGGATGAGTAAAGTTGGGTGGCCGAAACCAGACATCAGTAGGATAAAGTCTTTCCTGAAAGAACGACCTGCCCGCGTCAGACACGAGGACGGAGTAACAGACCCAATTCACCTTGAATACGGGCTGCCACAAGGATCGCCTTTATCCCCAATTCTCTTCCTCCTCTACATGGCCGAAGTCGTGGGGGGCAGCAGTTGGAGATTGGGCTATGCAGATGATGTTGCTATCCTCGGCATAGGCTCAACTCCGAACGAAGCCGTAGTAGCTGTCCAGAGAGAAGTCGATGCAGTCCTAGGGTGGGCTGCTGAAAATGCCGTCTCTTTCGACCCAGATAAAGCCGAAGTAGTCTACTTTGTCGGCCCCAGATCCAGGGGACACGATCTTCCGGCTATAAGGGTATCACATCTCTCCATGTTCAAGCCGAGTCTTGTACACCAAACATGCTCAATGTGGTGACTGTTACGGACCGCAGTCGTGACTCAGGTGCGAGAACCTTTGTTGCTCCAATCCTAGGGAATCTTCAAACATCCAGAGTATGAATTTCCAACACATATTTAGCGCCGCGTCTCTCTGGGACGCCGACTGGATGAATACCTCGGTATCTATGCCCCGAATTTGACGAATTGCGTATGCACCTTGTATGTGCTCTTTTGCCTTTGAAAGCAGCTCTTGTGGCTGCAAGTCTCGAGCGCCATTGATTCTTATTGGTACCGTTGTTTTTGTCATTTGGGGAGCCACGACCGACGCGTAACTCCTTGGTGTCGTCGCTCCCGAAACCACTGCTGGAGCAGCTTCACGAGCAGGATCCACGAGGCTTTTCATTCCGACTTCCTCTTAAGCCATCATCCTCTCATCAATAGGAGACTTGTTCTAGGAAATTTCCGTCCAGGCCCTTTTGTGTGCGTTGAAGGCCTTTACGGCCTCGTTCACGTCCTCCATTAAGGGTAGGTCCTCCTCGTCCATCTCTCCCATCACGATTAGTCTGACATGTTTAAGTAATTTACCTAGGGTTTCAATGTTCTTATTCCTTGAAGCTATCTGTGCTCCGTTGACCTTAGTTTTGGTGGCCATTGCTGCTTTTTGCGAAGCATCGAAACCGCTGGATTTACCTACGTCAGTACCCACACTTACCATGTTGTAGAACAGAAAGCGAAATGATGCTAGGAGGATAAAGAAGATAAAACATAAAATTATTGGTGTCAAATTAATGATAGTGGCAGTGTAGAACGCTGCGCAGCTTTCTGGCAAAAATGATGTTTTTCTTTAAATTATGTGTTGTTTATTTATTTATAATATTTAACGTTGTGCCCGTGCACAGCACGTGAGTTCCTCACGTACTGGTTAGCCCAGTCTAAACTAAACTACCCGACGTGTAGGCGCCCACACAGACCCTCCAAAGCAAACAATAGCTAGGATCTTATCATCCCACGCTCGAAGATTATAGTGTACATGAAGGTCGTCCGTCCAACGAATCTCATGCTATGCAGTTGGTACTAAATCAAAAAAAGATTTTATAACACAAAATGAACAATAAAAGGAGAATGTTGTTTACATCAGATCGTGATTTTGTTGGAATCAGACTGTTTGTTGTGCCCTTTCGAAGAAATCTATAACACGCACCCAATTATTGAATGCATCAAGTCCCTTCGCCGATGCAAGTACCCAGGATACGCTGGGATTAGAGTTCTGTGCCCTGTGGAGCTGAGCTTGGTATTGCCCGAGGTGGAGTTTATGTGTTGTTAACTACTTATAAGTACAGTTGTTGGAAAATTCTGCTCAGTCAGCTGGGTGATTCGGTTAAACCCCCTCACCCTCTGTATTTAGTACATAAATTTTTCATATTTTGTACTGCACTACTATATATATTCTCCACATACCTTATCTTACCCTCTATCTATTCTCGCCACTGTGACTTCACTCTCTCTGTTGTTTGATATTTTTAGTCACCTCTCATCTGTAGTAGATTTGGCGTTATGACTTGGGGGGAAGCAGTAGAGTTAGGGTCCGGCACGGTGCAAGGTTACAAGGCTGAATTTTCAGCCTCGTATACTTTTCTTATAGTGTACCATAGCCGTAGACAGAATGTACAAGAACATCTTTATCCCAATGTACATTGTTATCTGATCAGATACCGAGGCACAGCCTATCCAACACTCTCAATAATCCTAACTGGTTATGAGCCCGGTGTTCAACAATAAATCGACTTCCATTGAAATATCAGCAAAAATGTTTTTATCCACAGGATTAAAAGACCATGATAACCACAATGGTCTCCCCCAATATAAATCCGACTGGGGGAATGTTGTAGTCCTAGGACTCAAAACATATACTGAGTGGCGCATTACCTGCAAAATGGCTTTGATAAATG